AGCGGACTTGCTGGATTAAAACAAAATTTCGGACTTTTTTGGGTTGTATTTAGGTACTTGACTTTTTTTTTTTTTTTCAACTTAGACTATCAATATATTCAATCACCCCCTCTTTATTTTAGTACTTGATTTACTTCCCTTAGACACGTATGCTAGTAAATCTTTAATCATCTATATGTAATATATTTAGTTATAATAAAACCAACAACGGTATTAGCGGTTTGTTTCAACTAAAACCTCTACTACAAATAACATCCACATTAGATAGTATGTGAGGTGTTAGTTTGAGACCCACGCAAATAAAGAATAAATTTATGATTTACCATCGTAAGGAACTCGTTCCAACACCAGGCTAGGGATTGATTACGCTTTTAATTTATTGTTACAATTTTATTAATTAGATGTCTTCGAGGAGCTAGACATATAAAACTTAATCTTTATTTATGGGGATAAGTCTTGTATCTGGTTAGCCATACGGTGTTGCCACATTAGTTTATAAGAGTAATCTTCATTTATACGTATGAGTAACCTCAATTTTTCATAAAAGTAACCTTATGTTGTCCATAAAAGTAACCTAAATTCATTATACAAGTGAATTCAAGTCATTTAGAAATAAGTAACTCCATTTGTTCATTCGAGTAACCCCTATTATTTTGTTTTAAAAAATGAAAGAATAATTCCACTTACTTAAGAAAGTAACCCCTATTTCTCATTTACATAACTTACATATGCATTAAGGTATCCCCATTTGCTCATTACCGTAACTCCCTATTAATTAATTACTTATCTTGTATGTTATTATGTGAAATGGCTACACTATGGGCTAGCCACATAAAAAAATTTGTGTTAACGGTGTAATGGTACTCATTAAAGTCGATTTTGTGAATTTATGTATTAAGATGAAACGACTAACTAGTAAGATTTTACAAAAGTTTATTTTATCTATCAATGTATGTTAATGTAAAGAAGTAGTGAATTGTGTGAAACTTGTAAATGCTGCAATACTAAAATAACAGAAGTATAAATTATGATGTCACACACCTTCTAGACGGTAAGGTTCTTAAATTCAACTTATAGAACAAAATTCGTCAAAAATTGCATTAATAGAATAATAGAAACACCTCATAGTACACCAACCAAAATAATGACTAAACACGAAGAAGTCTTCATCTATTATCTAGAAGTGTAAGTTATTAGTTTATTATAGATGGGCACCAATAAGAAACCGTCATTTATAACAAGCATCGAATTTCCATTAATTATGCTAACGGATCAAAGACTTCACATGCAACTTGGGTGTTATTATTATAATAATTATTATCAGGAAAAAGCTAATGAACGTCCCGAGGTGTTGGATACGATAGGCAAAAGTAGATCTATTAAATTAAAATAAATATTAATTACATTGATCGACGCATAATTTTGCCATACATTTCCAAATTAATATTACTTTAAAGAGTATTTTAAATTCTTTTCTAACGCCGTAGGGGATTTCGTTAACAATATCCTTAATATTATGATAAACGAAAAACAAAGAAAATCATACAAGTTACAAAAAAATTAGTGTAGAGCCGAAATACTATCTAAGGCTCCACTCCTTTAACTATATTAAATCCTATTATAATGAAGATATGGGCAGCAGCACGTGCCCTAATTACGGACATAAGAAGAAGATTATTAAACAATTGAATTCCAAAATGGGAAACCATCAAACCATTAGTTCAACCTTAACCTTTAGTTGGAACTACAATAATTTTCATATGTGGTTGACCATACCGTGTGGCTGACTGAGTAACTCCTGAAAAAGTAACTCTGGTCACATGGTGTGGCAAAGCACCCTTAAAATTATTGTATAATACTCCCTTCGTTTTTAAATATTTGCTCAATTTCTATTTTTTGCACTATTCATTTGTCCTACTTTGACTAATGTTTGTGATTCATATATAGGAAATTTTTTTCAGAAAAACCTTTTAAAGTGACCATTTTGTTCAAAAAAACCTTTTAAAAAATTTTTGGCCAAGAGAAACCAGTTTTAAAAATTTTTATGTTCAAGACAGCCAAGTCCTACTTTCCGACGTTGACGGATATTTTTCCGGCGTTGACCACGTGCTTTCCCACATGTGCATGTCACGTGATTACTCATTTCCTAATGACACCCCCTTTTTCCTAAATCCACTCTATTTTCCCTCCAATTAAACCTTTAATTAAACACTCTCTCTCCTACTCCTCTATCTCACTCTCCTTCTCTCTATTCTCTCTAGCAACAAAGTCATAACTCTCTGGCATGGCTACAACATCATCAGTGAGGAATTGAATCTGCATTTTCACCAACCCAAAGCAATAAGTTCTCTTTTGAAAATCGATTCTTTAATTTGTTTCCTTAAAATTTTCATGTCATGGGTTCATGAAGTCCTCTTCGCAATAGGAAAGCCACACTCACACCTCGTCACACCTCCTCGAACCATAATTGTTGCATAATTGAGAAACTTTAAAAGGGGGGAAAACTCTAAATTCTATTCAAGTATCGAAAAGCTCAAAGATGGACAAATTAAACACTTACCTCTAGTTGAAACTTGTTGGTAAAACCTTCTATTGCTTGAATTATCTGCACTCCAACAATGGTGTGAGAACACAGAGCAGGGAAAGAGGGGAAATAGGATACAAAGAAGGAGATTGAAAGAGAGAAAGTGTTTATTTGGAGGGAAAAGATAGTTGATTTAGAAAAGGAGGTTTGTAATAAGAAAATTAGAAGTCATGTGACAAGCACATGTGGGAAAACACGTGGTCAATGCCGGAAAAACATCAGTCAACGTTGGAAAGTGAGACTTGGCTGTCTTGAAAAAAATATTTTAAAACTGGTTTCTCTTGGCCAAAAAATTTTTAAAAGGTTTTTTTGAACAAAAAAGTCACTTTAAAAGGTTTGTCTGAACAAATTTTCCTTATATATAAGAAAAAATATAGTCTTGTGGGTACTTGTTAGAATCATCTCAATGAATAAATTATTAATTTTCAATTGTTAGAATTTATACTTATTGATAATTAAAGATACTAGTGATCAAAGATTAGCATCGTCATGCGTGTCCAAGAAAAATAGAGCAAGTACTTAAAAACGGAGGGAGTAGCTGTTAATTTATAATTCATAATAGTTTATTCATGTATTAAATAGTAGGTAGGGACCAAGTTTCCATGAGTCCCAACAAAGAATAGGTGAAATTTTTTCCCTGCAGGCGGATGCACGATGCTTCGTGCATCCAGTTTTTTTTTTTTTTTTTTTTTTTTTTTTTTTATAAAAAAAAGGCGAAATGAACATATAGTTGTTCAGTAAAGAATATTTAGTTATTTTGTAAAGAACATATATTTATCTTATAAAGAAAATCACATATAATTGTTTTGTAATGAATATATAGTTGTTTTGTAAAGAATATATAGCTTTATGTTCTTTATTTATATCTAAAGAACATCTGTAATATTAATAAAGAACATGATAATATAACGTAATGAATATTATTTGTATTCAACCACAATAATCTAAAAACAAAATTTAAAGAACATTTCAAAATAAACAATTGATTTTATGTCACTAATAAAAGTACATTATACCGACAATCAAAGAACATGAAGATAAAGAACATTATTAAATAGCACACATGTTCTTTTCACTCTAGGTATATGTTCATTATATTTTAATAGTAGGTTCTTTTCACTTAAGGTATATGTTCATTGTATTTTAATAGTATGTTCTTTTCATTGTAACTATATATATGTTCATAATGTTTCTATAATATGTTCATCCGCTTTATAAAATATAAAAAATAACATTTTACTGTATTTTAATGTACATTATATTATTTAGATCTACAACTTTTTCTGAATTTGCTAATTTGTTTGCTTTCTTTTTTCAAAATGTAATAATTGGTAGGTTTTCTTCAAGAACTTCATATGTTTCTCATTGCAACACCAAAACCACATAAATAACAAATTTACACCAAGAACTTGCAAAAAAAAACTACCAATCGAACTCAAATTGAACAACTATGCATGTCGAAATTGTACTTACCTTTTGTTTTCGTCAGCCATCTTGAACAATTTTGCACCAAGAAGTTTGAAATTAACGATTTCTTTGTTAAGGTTTGATGAACTTGAAGTGGTTTTCAATTTTTTTCTTTTTTGGAAGAGAAATCTTGTAGAGAGAGAAAGAGTATACTATAAAATGATTTGAAATTACTGTATGGTAAAAAAATAATTACTATTTATCTTTTTTTTTTTTACAAAAAAGAAGCTCAATATAACTCGTGTACATTAGAATTGAACAATATGTTCTTTCTACAACCATGTACATTATGACACAACATAATGTACATTCCTCAGGGGATGCACCATACAGATCGTGCATCCGCCTGCAGGAACCACCCACTGAAGAATAGGGGGAGGAAATAAGAATCCCCAAATTGTCCAATTTTAAAGAACTACCAATAAAATTTGATCTCTTAACTTCATAATTGTTACTCCCTCCGTTTTTAAATACTTGCTCCATTTCTCTTGGACACGCATGTCGATGCTAATCTTTGATCACTAATATCTTTAATTACCAAAAAGTATAAATTCTAACAATTGAAAATTAATAATCTATTCATTGAGATGATTCCAACAAGTACCCACAACACTATATTTTTTCTTATGTATAAATTACAAACATTATTCAAAGTATGACAAATAAATAGTGCAAAAAATAGAATTAGAGCAAGTATTTAAAAATGGAGGGAGTAGAAGTTAAAATTTTTACTACATCAAGATTTGCTTGTTATAGCCGTGCAGCTCGAGTACAGGGGAGCTAGATGGAGTGCATTTGTTTCCATCAAATACATACCTAATTTATTGATACCGTAATATTGGACCATAAGTTAATTTTTAAATGAAAAAAAATGCGACAAAAGATATTATGATGTTATGCATCTAGAATGTAAATCTTTGACTTTATTATATTTAGCTAGAAAACGTGGGGGTAAAGCTAAAGATGATGCCACCCATTACGCTTACAATTCAACATCAACCAACTTCCTCCTTTAATTCTAATACTATGTAAACGTATTTTCATTATAATTAAATTGTTAAAAGTCAAACTTTTTTTCAATAAATAGAAATCAAGCGAAGAAAATATAAGCATTATGCTGAGAACTTAGGTAGAACACAACAAATACAATCTTATTGTAATATCAATTTTAAGGGCCAACAATCACAAATATTATTCCAAATTATACCAAAGAAAAATGGAGCTATTGCAAATGCAATCGCCTTCATCAATAGAGTTTGATTTCAACAGCAGCCGGGCATCTCCCTGTGGAAGCTCTCCATCGACTCCTAAGGGGTTCAGAGATTACTACTTTAGTGCGCCAACAAGTCCAGCTCGATCCATAGGGATCTATCATGAAGTTGAGCAATTTTCCAAGGTTAGTAACTACACGAGAGGTGATACATCTACCTCTGATTTATCATTTGATTTCCCATTTGCTACAAAGACAGAATCCAAATCCCTTGTAAAGCCTCTGCCTTTTGAACGGCACAAACTAGAATCCATAGATAGTCCTCTTTTATCTCCACATTCAACCAAATTACAGCAAAAGAAGAGTTTTTGGAGCGTGTTTTCACCAAAGCGAAAGAAGGAATCAGAACCTGATAAACCTGCAGTTGACAATGAGGGAACAAGAATTAAAAAGAAAGGAAGAGAACGAGCAAGAGAGAGAGCGGTTTCAGCTTTATCTGACTCTAGGAATGGAAGGAGAGTGATAAGGTCACTTTCTCCACCACGGGAATCTAAGTATCCATGGGAACAAGAGCAGAATACAGAAGAAATCGCCTCCGCTTCAAAGCCAACTTCATCTCCATCAACATTGTCCACTTCTTCTAAAGGAAGTAAAAAGTGGAGGTTAAAAGATCTGTTCTTGTTTCGTAGTGCATCAGAAGGACGAGCATCAGAGAAAGATCTTGTGAAGAAATATTCATATGTGCATAGGAAACACGAAGTTGCCAATAACCCAGGATCACCATCATCAGCACAAGGCTCCTCGAGTATAATTCCTGCTCGAAGAGGACCGATGTCAGCTCACGAGCTGCACTATACTGTAAATAAGGCTATCTCACAAGATATGAGGAAGAAGTCATTCCTCCCATACAAACAAGGGATTTTAGGTCGCTTGGCAATCAATCCAACAGTTCATGCACTAGCACATGGTTATGGTCTTTAGCTCATCGTAGTTAAGAATGAAAGATAAGATAACTAGTCTGTAATTAGACCTAGACCTCCCCAATTTTGTGAAGTCCATACCGAAACTTGAAATCATTTCAAAAGAATAAGTGGGAAGATTCTCAGATAACTGTATAGAGCATTAGCTAGCTAATTCCAAAAAAAAAAAATTCCCACATGTAGTCATGTACTCATAGGTCCCCGGGAATAGAGAAGCAAGAATTATTCTACAAGTGCAAAGTTACACGAGTACTACATACTAGTACTTTGTATATTTCTAACCAAGCAACAAGCATCAGAAGAAAAACTGTTAAATCAAAAAGCAATCTTCAGATGATCATCCAACTACATCCGCTAAAGTACCATAGATTAGTAAGGGAAGCATTTTCAGTATAACAATTCCATCGCCCAAAAGAAAAGGAAAGGAAACTTCTCCTTACAGATATACGCCTGTCTAGCCAACCTTTTGGAGTCATACACTCATGCATCTATGCGCGCCAATAAACTGTGCCATACGCAAGTAAACATCAACAACAGCTGTTATCATGGGATCATCATGATCAATGCATAAGCCATGATTGACTCAAATAGGCCCAAAGTGCATTAATAGGGTGTCAAACTGTCAATTGCTGATCAATCAAAGTTATCAATCTTGATTGGAGTAATATCATCAGCCACTTTGAAGTTTCCTATTGTGCGTGCAAAGAAGACAATCTGTTGCTCAAGGGTGAACTTGATGTTTTCAGCCTGTGCATTATTCGAAGTATAAAAATTCCCATTTGGGTATGCATAGTTACATTTTATATGAAAACAATTTTTTTTTTAAAATGAAAGACCATCATCTACCTTTCGGAACCCATGTTGTTCACCTTCATACTCAACAAGGGCAACAGGCAAGCCCTTCTCCTTCAATGCTTTGTAGATTGCTCGAGCTTGATCAGGGGGTACAACCTGAAAAGTGTTCATGATATATAGTACAATTTTAGGTTTTTTTTTTTTTTTTTTTTTTTTTTTTTTTTTTTTTTTTTTTAATTAAAAGAGTAAATAAACAATGCCTAGTTCATACTTCAAGAGATAAATTTAATAACCAGAAAATCACTCCCATCACTCTTAAGTTTCAACAATTAATTAAAACCAGTAGGAAAAAAGGAGTACTTAAAGTTGAGGTCTCAATTTGATAATTATTAGAAGTTTAGAACCATAAAAAATAAAAACACCTCAAGGGGTGTTCTGTCAGAGGCAAATCTAGTATAGGTTCAACTGAATCTGTACTGGAATGTAAAAAAAAAAATGATCAGAAAAAAACAGCAGGAAAAAAAAAAGATAGTAATGATTTCTGGAACAACTAGCATGCAAAGGTGTGATTTAAGTCGCGGGTTCAAGCACTATGAGAGACATTTTTTGTTTATTTTCATTCTCATTTCAATTTTCTTACTCTATGTTAGGATAACAATTAAGAAGGGAAAAGGAGGGGGAGGAGGAGGAAAAAGAGTGAAGAGAAAGGGAGGCAAGGGGAGGGTGAGAGTGACCTATCTTTAATATCTCAACAATGGAGGGATTCGGTTTATTAAAATATGAAGGAAAATGAATTTCTCCATTTCCTTTCCCTTTCCTTGCCCTATGCCTTATCCAAATAAGGGAAATTTTATCACTCACTTTCCCTAGCCTCCCTTTCCACCCTATATTCCTATCCAATACACAAGTTAATAACGATAGTGCCAACAGGTCTTTATAGCTTCATTATTTTATTCATTTTTTTTATTATCAGATAAAATAATATTTGCTATATATTTACAAGATACTTTTTTAATACTTGCAACAATTCTCTAAAATGGAAGAGTCACAATACTTACACCATACTATAATTGTAACTTTTTAAGTGAAAGTTGTACCATTACCCTCTCTTAAAGCTCATGGCCCACTTAATTTTGCTCCTAACAATCTCTCAACCCCATTTAAGTGTATGAAATCGTTTAAGTCTCACTTTTCTTAAATACAGTGAATGTGTCTTGCAAGTATTAACCGGATGAAGTATATAATCAAACCCCCAAATTAGTTAAATTATAATTGGGGTAAAAAAAAAAAAAAAAAAAGAATATTATGTTGTTTTGTTGCACAAAATAATTTAGTTTTATTTATCAGTAGCTTAGGCAAAATGAATCTGAACCCATAAGCTATACTTGTATTTTCAAAAAGAGTAGCCTTCAATGAATTCGAACCCATAAGCCAAATTTTCAGGATCCAACAATGTGTTATGTTGCAAGCTATGACCATCATATTCCACTATATCCTTGTAAATGTAAATTTTTTCATTACAAAAAAGAAAAGAATCATACATTCCGTATTTTACTCTGATAATTTATGAAGATACCAAAAGGCTCTAAACAAGTGTACTATTTTAATTCTTAAATCTTAAAATAATACCATGTAAGTTTTAAGATAGTTCAATTTCAATATGAGAGCATGTATAAAAATATTAAAATCCACAGCTAACGCGGTGAGTTGTGTTGTTTGTGCAGTTTCAATTATAGTCACCTGAATACCCCAGCTGTTGACGTAATGTGTGCATGGTACAGTCAAGTGTTTCATGGTCGATGGAAACCCATGTGTTTTGTGTCATACAATTAATATCATATTGAAGTTGAACTAATTTGGTAAGTAAAATTTTCGATTGGGACCTGAATCCGAAATTGTACTAATACATTTCAGACTGCCCAATGCCCCAATTCACACCCCTAGTAACTTGCAGAGGAAATTAGATCACAAATACCTTATCTTCCAATCCCTGGAAAAGGATAATTGGACAAGAAAATCTATCAACGAAGTTAATGGGTGATCTCTCATGATAAGCTTTTTCATCCCCTACAACAGCATAAAGGGTACACTAAATTAGTTGAGTTAAATCAAACTAATAAACAAAAAACCAATGATATGGAAAGCAAACTCTTTGAAACTTTCTATTTCAGGTGGAACAGAATAATTACCAACAAGATTGTCAATATAACGTGATTCAAATTTGTGTGTTTCAGCTCTGAGTAAGTTTAAGTCAGCTACCTGTTCAACAACCGAGGCATGTAAAACAGGTTAGTGAGCCAAAAAAAGATATCAATTATGTTTGGATGAGGAGAGAGGCTTTATTGTTTCAATTTTCATTTGATAAAGTTTTAAAAAAATATGTATTAATCTTTAAAAACAAGTAAGCTGATTTGCCAAAACATCAAAATAAAGGCATACTCATGTACAAGTGTCCAACTCTGGAATCATGGTAAGATACCATTGTAAACATGCTTTGATGTCAAAGAAGTCACAAGAGCTTACTGCTATTATATTTAATACTTAAACTATGCAGTCCAAAATCAGTGCTCTTTTAATTAATTTATTTATTTATTTTTAATGAATTTAGAGTTTTTCAAGTGACATGGGAGCCTGCTAGCATTCAAAATTGTACAATGATTTTATTCTTGGTCATAATAATTTATGTTACGAGTGGCTGGGAGCATTGCACTTGGAAATGTTCTCAGCTTTTGTTCTATATTTTAGTCCTAGGTGAGTTAGGGTTATTTTCTTCAGTTCATTACAGGCATTGTATCACAGTCTTTGCATGAACTAAGGATGAATGATATCAGTCCCTACGACAAAGAACCCAAATTTGTTTACGAGGTTCCAACATATACTCCTTTAGCCTTAATAAATTTTAGACAGAACCACTCTGAAATTGATTACTTTTCTTAGGGAGCATTAACTAAATTATACTCAGTTGTTTAATCTGTGTTCTCAGTAACAGAGTCAAGCATCATATTCTCATGTCACTCATTTAGTACATAAGATACAATAAAAACATCCAAAATATTATCTAAGATCATCTTTATGAAAGTCGAACTAAAACTAACATCACTTCCAAATTGAATAAGCAAGTAAATAAAAGAAATATGAATTTTTCCAAAGTTGGTCAACAATCAGCACCTGTTGTTATCACAAAATTGACATACTTACACCATACAATGATGCACCAGCTTTGAAAGTCTCCTTAAATGCAAGAGCAGCTAATGTTGTATATCCACCAGCAGAACCCCCAGTTATACAGAGTCGATCACCATCTACCTTTCCATTGTCCACCTGCCAAATAAAACAAATAAAATTTAATTTTAAAGCTTCTTGGACAACAGGTAACAATGACTGAAAGACCTAAGGATAGAGCTTGCCAGAAATTTAGCACAACTGCAACAATCATTAACATCAACAATGCCCCAGTTATTCAACAAGCGCTCTCGGTATTCTCTTCCATAGCCTATACAAAAAGGAAAGATAAAATTAAAATTGCAAAAAATTGCTCTCAGTTACAAATTTACAATGTATATGAGATGAGAGTAAGAGACCGATAGTGAGAACTCTCAAGTCCTGAGAGTATTTTTTTATAAAAGGTCAACAATTGACAAGAAAGGATGCATAAATTCTTCTGGGCAAGCATAAAAATTTAACTGGCATTCTTATGAAGGAAACATTGAGAAATGGTAGAACTAACCTGTACTTCCACCATAATTAACATCCACAAATGCCCAGCCACGGCTGGTCCAGTACTGTATACTAAGATTAAGGATTCCACGAGTCTCCGCAGTGGGTCCTCCTAAACAAGTTTGGATATAATGGAACTGATCAGAGTCAAAAAATATAAGCTTCTGACATCCAAACGGAGCAATAATAAGCCTATTATTCCCAAAATTGATTTGATTGTTTTATATAAACCAAAAAGTATTCAATGTGTAACCAAGAAAAACCATCTGTTCCTTAACATTCTTCTGTTTTTTTAGGATACTTGCTAAAAGAAACAACACAAAAGTTTCTCCCAATTACAAATTGAAAAAAATAAAATAAAAACTGCGTCTTAGGTTGAACATAGCTCAAGCAGATCATTATTCGAAACTATATTGAATTATGAACTTGGTAGCCAAAACCTAATCTCCAACTCTTTAAATTAGCTCAATTATATATATACTAGACTCCTGACACTTTATTTCAT